CACCTATGACTCCCCAAACCACTTAGTCTGTCTTTTAAATGCAATTTTCGCCATATGCGCAAGCTACAGCCCAGCATAATTAACCACCATTACACAAAGTGCCAGGCCCGTGTGCAGGGACTATGCATTCGTCTCTAGCCTGACACAGCCTCCGCTTTATGAAGGATGTCAGACGCAGAGCTTAAAAACTCATTGGCATGGAAAATCTGAGGTGTTAAAGGGGTAGAGAGGTCATTTATCATGCTTCAGACCAATTTTCTATGGCAAATTTAGGTGACACCTTAGTCCCAAGGCTCAGATTGTCTGAGGGAGCCACAAATAGAGGCAGAACACAAGTTCAGGATAATTACAGGGAGGAGTGCAGCCTTTAGCAACACTTCTCTTACCAAATAAGGAAATCCTGTGTCTAACCAAAGCAGCAAGTTTGCAGAATAGGCTGAAAAAGAAAAGAGTGCAATTTGGAAAGTCACAGAGACTGAAGGACTAATCCACCTCCCACCCCTACCCACTGTAAACGGGAGAGCACAGATTGGCACTCTAGTGAGAAGCACTGTGTTCCTTTCAAATGATCCTTTGGACTATGCTCAGGAAAACATGTGGTTCATGCTGTTTTGGAGAATCATGGAAAGTACTTTGCAGCAGCTCCATCCTTATGAAAGCAATCCCTCTGTAAGAGTTACAGTATTTTGCAGTGACATGGTGCTATCCTTTGCTCCAGAGTACCATGTGTTGAAATGGTCATTTGTATAAATCCAGGAATAAATAAAAATTCTGAATGGAAGCATGATTTTTCCATTCTTGCAATGGATTGCAAACCATTTTGCAGCCTTCAGTGGAGGTGGGGGGGCTGGGCGGGGGGCTGAGGTTTAGTTGGGAGGTAGGCAAGAAGTTGGGATTGGAAAAATGTTAATGGTTTAGGTCTAGGGGGAGATTGTGTTAAACAGAAAACATTTTAAGAAATGTATTTTCTATGTTATCTCCCATTAGTCTACTGGCCTGACAGGTTTCTGTCCTAGCTGGGCCCTTGGAAAGCAGGAGAGCCCACGTGGCATGCTTTTGTGTTACCTGACCCTTCATCCTCCATACTTTTACCCATATTTCCTACCATGGAACCCGCTGAAGGTTCAGCTGTCGCACTGCTTGACTTTACACAGTGCCTAATAGAGGGCCTTGGGCAGTTAGAAGGGAGCCTTATAAATGTTTCTGATCATGCTGCTGAGGGGCCCCATCTAGGGACACTATGGCCATCATCTGACCTGTGCTACTGGTGCCCTTGGGAGGAGATTCCTCAGAATTCTGACATTATTTGAAAATGGCACCACTAGACAAGAACCTTGCAATCCCTTCAGAAAGCAGTGGAACAGAAAGAGGGAAAGTAGGAAAAACCCAATTGTACAGGGGTTCCATGGCGAGGCCGAGGTAAAGACAATCTCAGTCTCTCATTGCTAACTTGTCACGGGGCTCCTTGCCACACCCAGGGCAGAAGTCTTCTACAGCACAACTCAAATGGAGAAGAAATGCATCCTGAATGTTGGTGGGGATGAAAACTTGCTCACCTTCAAATGGTTTTCAATCAATGCCCTGGTGTTTCTGGGCTGCCTACTAGAAAAATCACAGCCAAAGTCCCCTGTGGTTACTCATTTGTTTTTGCAGTGGAAATAAGTTGGAATTCCCTGGCCTAAAGCTTAAGAGGACTCATAATAAGTTATCAGAAATTTGGCAGCCAGCTAGTGTGAAATTAAACATGGACTGCTTCTCTTTTTCTCTTTCCATGGTGGTGTCTGCCCTCTTCCCAGACATGCATTTGATGCAACCCTGAGGAATGTGGGTTCTGAGGCTCTGCCTATAACTAGCTGGGCTGTCCTGGTGAAGCCCCTTAACTGCTCTGTGCACTCGCTTTCTCATTTTTACATAGACAATAATCACATGACTTTCTTAGTTTTCAGAATTAGAGGTGGATAAACATATTTCTGGTGAAAATGCTCCAAAGTGGACACATACTCTGTAGAAACACAAATCAATGTTTTCCTAACTTAAGCAGGTGGTTGGGTTATTTGATCCTAATACTAACTAACATGGCTCTCTCCACTGTCAGAAGTGCCTTCTCAGGCTTGCCAAGGCCAGGACCTGAAACGTCCAAAGGCTCCTGCTTGTAGAGGTGGGGTGAGGGCAGAGGATGCAAGCAAGGGGAGTCTGGTAGTGTGAACACACTCAGCGCAAACAAGCCTGCTTCTGTGGGAGGGCAGTGGGCACACTGATGGATCTGAAAGCTATTTGCAAGGCTGATCAGCTCTAGGTTGTATTCCAGCCGTGGCAAACGGTGCGTGCTTGAACAAATGTTACATTTCCATGAATTAATAATCTAAGAAAAACAGATGAAGAAAACAGACATGCCTGCCCTCTGTTAGGTTTTGTGGATATCTCACTTTGCCCCTCATTTCCCTAGCTTCTGACAAAATACACTGTGCATCCTGAAAATGTTTAGATCTTTGGTCAGTACCTCATTGTAAGGGTATCTCTTTTTGATAGCACAGGGCCTCTCCTGTCCTAAATGAAAATAGGTAATTATGGTGCAGAATAAATGGCACACCATGTGAATAAAAAGGATTGGGCTTTCTTACTACCTCATTACTTTGGGCATTGGAGCGAAGCTGACTGAACCTGTTTCTTCATGTGCAAAATGGAGATCATAATACACAGGTACTTTTCAGAATTTAAAACACTGTGATATCGGGCCGGCCCGTGGCTCACTCGGTAGAGTGCGGTGCTAATAACACCAAGGCCCTGGGTT